CTAATGAGTTGTGGAACAACATATGTATCCTCTATCAATACCCCTCAAAAATCTGGTCTCACATCAGACAACAGTGTTTGTTTAAACGGAACAAATTATGGGGATTTAATGATTCAATAGAAAAATAACGTAGTTAAAGTACTTGAGGGGAAAAATCCAACAAATTTAGAGATATACTTATATATTAGGCCTTGATTTTAAGTTATCTTAGTCTCATCATTCACGAATTTCTCTGTTACCGTCCTTTTTCTTTAAAAAAAAGAAAAATAAAATAAAATAAAATCATAAAACACAATAATAAAAATTTAAATAATCGACCAACTAAATTATGCAACTTTTTCTCATATTGACCCTTCATTTGAGATCATATATGTATTTGGATTTTAGTGAAATAATAATGTGTCATAAAATGGAAGTGACTAGAGATTTGAGTGATATCATCTTAAGATTAGATTTATCTTTTATTGTTATTTTTATTATTTTTAACTATTTGAGTTGTGTAATATATTTAATCGTTTTGACAAGATATTTGAGTGATATCATCATAAGATTATAATATTATTTTTTAACTCTTAGAATTGCAAAATAAATATAATTATATTTTGTTTATGTGCGTTCTCTATCAACAAAAATAGTTAAAGTTCATTTCATAGATATCCAAATCCAATGTACTGTTTTTTTAACGTTTGCTCAATAGTAGTCACTCATATACTCATTTTCGAATCGATTAATTTAAATTTATGTAGTATAACTTTGATTTAAGATAAAAATTATTTTTTATAAAAGTAATTTTATTTTATGAATTTAAATTTAACACTTTTAAAAAATCAAAATATAAAAAAGATATTTATTATCTAGTCGACCTTATTATAAATAAAATGAACAGAAATATTCATGCAAGAATATCTTAAAAAAGTCCTGCGTCAAATATTCGATACATAATTATTTTGAAGTTAAACTAATTATACACGTACCTATAAGTTTTAATTTGATTCTACCTCACCAAATGCTGATGTTAGTATCTATTTTGAAATTTAATTAATTTAAATCAAAGCGCAAAATTTCACAAAATAAAATTTTTCCTATCGATACAAGACTTCATTTCAAAAGATTGAAATTGACATATATTCAATTAATAATAAAAAAACATTTATCATTCTATCATAATTTTCTGTCAATTAAAAAATATTTCAATGAAAATTATTTTTTTTAAAATCTTTTTACTCGATCTTTAAAATTAACATCCAAATCATATATTGGAGGCTCATTATAAGAGCAATTCTCCTAACCATTTCTTTATATATTCAAAATTTAATTTTAAACTTTTATTTTTATATTCAAAATTTAAATTCGAAACAAAATAACAAAAATTCCATAGTTAAAACTTAATATATGTTATAAAATCAAGCTCATAAGAATATAATCATAAAGAGAAGAAGACAAGAGAAGTAGATAGTAGAAGAGGAATTTTCTTCATATTCAAGTGTATGTAAATCTCATCTATATCCATTACAATAGTGAATGAACAACCCTATTTATAGAGTGAGAAATCACTCCAAAGGTCACCATATTAAGTATCATAATAAATAGATACATTCTTATCCAAAAAGGTTCATGTAACCTAGTGAATATGAATGGTTCTTCATGTACCAACCTTATGGACCATCCACTTAATTCAATGTATTTATAACAATGTACTATATATTTGGATAGAACATTATATATGTGGGTTCTAATAGGAAAAAGACTTCTTAAAGTTTTCCTATATTAATTATTATATATATGTAAAGTTGGATAAGAGTTTGGTGGAAAAAAATTTCACTTTTTATTTTTTAATTTTTTATTTCTTCTGCCGACTTTGGTATTATTAATTTTGAAGAATCCTATAAAAAAAGTTTTATCCATTTGCTTTTTTGAAAAGCCAACACAATTGGTAATAAATAATTTATTAACGAAATGTGTTTTGGAAAAAGTAAATTATTCACATTCATTATGCATATCTTATATTAATACAATTATTCATTTTAAAAAAATACTTAATAATTCATAAAATCAATTATCAACGATAAATAAAGGGGACGACTAAAATATGGAAATAACAAAAATAAATAATTTTGAATTTTCCTTTTTTTTGGAAAAGAATTAAACATCATATATAATTTTAAAAACCAAAAAAAGTGCTAGATTTGGGATAAAGGCAATATTTGATATATCTCATAAAGTATATTAAGATAGATATACCATAATAAATATACGAAGAACAAAGGAATAAAATAGATTTTCCATCAATTCACAACTTTCTTTTACGAATCTACCTAATGTTTATTCTAATTTAATCACATAATTTTTGCCTAGGTTTTGGAATATTATTTGGAGTTTTTTTTTTCTTTCAATGTTTTACTTTCTTCGTATAAGTTTGAGTTTTAAATTGGATCGAGTTTTTTAATTGAATCTTTATTCACTAGATTTATAGAAGAGTTCTTTTTGTTAGAAAGGACGTATTATATATATAGTTAAATGTTTAATATTAAATTTTCACTGTTAATGTTAATGATTACAAATATATTGTCAAATAAGCTAACTTATTATATGTAGACAAAATTTACCCTATATTTAATCGAATGCATTTTATTTATTTTCCAAAGAGCCCCTCCATGTATTAAGTAGAAAATAATCCTAAAAATTCTCCACTATACACAAATTAGAAATAAAGTTCTATCAATACCAAAATATGATGCACTATTATTAAATTTTCTTTGAAATAATTTTGGTGTCCAAGTAAACTGAAATAACTATATTATTTTTATTTTATTAAAATTTAAATTCAAACCATTTTATCATTCCTTTAATTTTTGTTTAAAAATTAAATGTTTCGTGATTTTCGATTCATATATTAATTTATTAATCGCCAGGTCAAGATCATAAAAAATTTACATTTTTGTCACATCAAATCCTTGACAAGATTCCCAATTTCTTGTTCACTTTAAAATTAACAACTACAAGTGTAATGATAAACCAATAGAAGTCAACTACTGCAACAACAATAATTAGTAATGAGTTATTGGTCAACATATATTATTGGTATAAATTAAATGTATCGAATTAACTTCTATTTTAATATTTGGTTTAGGATGTCCAAGTTTGTCTTTAATATGTATTACTAGTTATTATCTCAAAACTTTGATTAAATTATATGTTATATGATTATTGGATATTAACGAAATATCAGATAGTAGATTAATTAAAATCAAATATGAAATATTTAATCATAGGCAAGTTTAAATATGTTTATACGTTATGCCTTGATAAAAAAACTTGGCAACTATAACTTATAATCTGGTGATCTCAGTGCGAGTTTTCTATGTAATAAGTTTTATTGTAATCTTTATTCCTTAGGGCCAAATATAAATTCGAAATAGTCAGGCCCAGATAAATATCAAGTGGATTGTGATGAATGATTAAGAATTCTTTTAAATTTAATCAAAGATTTTATGTTTAAACTTTTTGAGCATAAAAAGAAATAGGTTAAGAATGTTATTCTTAAAATGAACTTGGCACAATTCGCACTTGAGTTGAAATATAAATATTAAACTTCTGTAAAACACATTTTACCTTACAGAAAAACATTAAATGAATACGATTTAGAAAGAGTAAATCACATTTGTTGAATGTTTAATGAATTCCAAATTAAGAGTATAAATCTATTCGAAATGGATAATTAGTTTTTATTTATAATTTTAAAAGAAAAGTAAAATCATGGTGACTTTTAGATAATTTATTTTTGAAAAACCCTAACTTCTAGAGTTAAACATTTTTGTTTGAAATGATGGACTCACCAAATAAGTAAAATAACACATTTTTTTCACTTAAATAATTTAATTATTGTCTAATCACTTGAATAAACTTGTTTAAAAACTATTTATCAATATATTCGACTAATTAAACAAAAATTTAGAAAACATCATTCTCAACATATTAAAGATATTTTTAACCTCCCCAAATATAGTATTAATAAAATTCATTATTTTTTTGGAATTTCCCAATTAGAATATTTGATGTCACTTTTATTCGTGGCCACCCTAAATATAGTAAAAAACGTGACAAAATTGTACACTCAAATCTTAATAAATTTAATTTGCCCCCTACCCCACCAAATAAAGTTAATAAAATTTATTTGCCTCCACCAATAGTTAACCAACTCCTATTTGCCAAACACTTGTAAAATTCTAAATTTTTTTCTATCGATTTTAAATTATCTATCGTAATTTTTAATGATAATTATATAAATTTATTTATTATTTTTACAACTTAAATTTAATTTCTTTTAATCCTACTCTTAATAATTATCATAATTCAAAATTATAACCAAATACAAATAAAAAAATGAAACAAATTCTCAATCTACTTTTATTTAATTATTTTTGATTTGATATATTCTTCTTAAAAGATTATAAAATGACAATTTAACTAGGAGTATATCAATTTTTCTCAATACTTTAGATAACTATAGTTGATCATAGAAGTCAAAAATCAAAGTTAAGTGATATATTATATCTATATATTTTAATTGATCAAATAAAAATAAATATATCATGTTAAAAATATTTAAATTAAAATATCTACGTTTAATATAAGTGAGAAATAACAGTATTGTTCAAGAAAGATGTAATGAGAGAATATTTTACTATGTTTTTATTGATTAAGAGGTAAAGAATAATAATCTTTTTTCTTTCGTACATTAACAAGGACGAAAAAATAAAATATGTTACGAAACTATATAAAACATAAAAAAAAAATAGTAGTACAAAGAAGAGGGGGAACTTCTTAGTTCTAATTCCTAACTTTTCTTCAAATGAATCTACGTAATTGATATTCACCGAAATACAAATACATTTGTAATAATTTTTTTTTAATATAATGAACAAGTAAATGACGAAAAAATATAATTTTTTTATTTAAAAAGTATTTTTTTCCCTATATATATACTAGGATGGATTGGGTCAATTTAACCAAATAAAAAAGCCTCTTTAAATTCCTCACCAAAAACCCTTTCTTTTTTCAAACTTATTTTTAAATTGAATTCCTAATAAGAAGGATGATGTATCCGGCGAACAATCGGTGGCTAATCGGCGAATCACCGGCGATGATTCATCCAAATTCAACATGGACGAGATTTGAAGACAAGTTATTTGAACAAGCTCTAGTTATGTACTCTGAAAACGATATTGAACGGTGGCAGAAAATTGCTAATCATGTTCCGGGAAGGACGCCGGAAGATGTTATGGCTCACTATGATGCACTTGTTCATGATGTTTTTGAGATTGATTCAGGGAGAGTAGAGCCGCCAAGTTATCCTGATGATTTGTTTGATTGGGAATCGGATTGTAAGACTAACCAGATCTCGTTTGGGACGAACAAAAAACATGAAGTTGAGAGGAAAAAGGGAACTCCATGGACTGAAGAAGAACACAGGTTTGTTTTTTTTTGAAGTTCTGTTTATAGGTTTTGATGTGAATTTTGGAAACAGGGGTTCTAGGGATTTGAATTTTTGGGAATTTTTTCTCTGTTGTAAAAATTATTTGGATTATTTTGACTTTGCACGGAATTTAAGAAAAATATACACTTTTGAATCTTTGTGGTGATAAATTAACATATGTCAAATTTTGAAAATGTTGTTAATCTTATAATCTTAAATAGGCGAAAAATGAGATTAACAGTTGCTCGAAAAGGTAATCTTTTTTAGTTTTGTAACACTTCGCAATATGTCAAATTTTTGAAAATGTTCTTTAATCCTATGGTCTTAAATATGCCAAACGAAAAGTGAGATTAAGCAGTTGCTCAGAAAGGTAATCTTTTTAAGTTGTCTAACACTTAGCAAATTGTTCAAATGATAGAGTGTATAGTGAGTACTGTATAAGTATTACTAGTAGTAGTTGTGTAATCTATCTTTGTTGAACTGATCCAAATAGAATGAAATGGATTGTATTTCGATCCGACTTGCTTGAAATTAAGGCGTAGTTAATGATTGTTGTTTGAACAATTTAGGACGACAATAACATATCTAGTGAAATTCCATGAGTGGGGTCGGGAGAGGATAGAGTGTATGCAACAGACCTTATCCCTATCTCATAGAGATAAAAGACATTTCTGTTTAAGTGGCAAATATAGGTGAGTTTGGTCGGGGCGTGGACATTTTCTTTTACAGATGGAGACATTTAGCATCATAATGAATAAGTTGATTGAATGTTTGTGATAAGCATTGACAAGTTCTTATTGTTTATTACTATCTTCTTTGAATGAAGTTAAAAGGTTTTTGACTACCCGTGGTACGGCTAATATAGTTGTAGAAAATGAAGTTCTATGAAAAACTTTGTTGAATTCTTCTTCATTGTGTTAGGTGGTATTTGTCACACATAAAAAATATATAGTACTAATAGATCTAATTATATTATTCGAGTCTCGAGATATAGTTGACTTCATAAGATAGTTGGAATTGTTATTTGTTTGGATTTGATGCTGACTTAGAAAACAATGGTTTTTTGGTCATAGGTTATTCCTTATTGGGCTGGATAAATATGGGAAGGGTGATTGGAGAAGCATTTCAAGAAATGTAGTGGTGACGAGGACACCGACACAGGTGGCCAGTCATGCTCAAAAATACTACCTTAGACAGCAGTCGATGAAGAAAGAACGTAAAAGGTCAAGCATACATGACATTACCACTGCAGTGGATACAAAGATGGTGCCACCTCAAAACTGTCTTCAGAATCAAGGAGGGTATCAGAATTTCAACTTTCCCATGTAGAGAAACATGAAGACTAGGAATATCTGTAAATATTATGGTCATATGTAATTCAATGTGTTCCAACTTGTATAGTTTATTGTTTCTAGCTTACAGTTGATTTAGACGATTACCTAGTGAATAGAAGCTTAGTTGATAGTCTCAGTTACTGCTCGTGTTGAATCGTTGTACTTATGGATGGCATAAGTCGCACAACACGTGAAGGTTTACATGTAATTAAACAGAGTTTTAAGGGAAATCATTGGCGTTTTGGTTCCAGAACTAGTTTATGTTAAGTTTGTGCTTTATTCCTGGAAGTTTAAGTATTGGTGTCTTTCATCCCCGTTTTGCTACGGATGGGATCTAATCTTGATTTGATGCTTTAGTTCTATTTTCTTCTAATCTTTGTTTTCGACATTTGAGTTTACTCTTTTTTCACTTGTGTATGGTGTGCCCTTGTTGTTCTGGAGGACGCTACCAGCCAAGCGTTGGACTGGATGATCAAAAGGTTGCTATCATCGCCTCCAGACAGAAGAGTAAGTTACCTTGCACCATTCTACTGACACTATCAATAGGTAGTCCTGTATTTGCTTTGTAGATTGATGTAACTTAGTAATCATTTCGAAGTACCATACCTGTTCTATGTTTGGCGTTTTGAACATACAGAACATATTCTCGTTTGATCATCAGTATACTGAACCGGTATCTTTGTAGTGGTTGGTGATTGTTCTTTCATTTCATCAAGTTGATAATAGTGCCTTCGTAGGCTAATGATTTGGACGCAAAGATCTGAAATTTATGTGTTTCTACTTATGGAATCCTGCGTCGTTCTAGAGATCCTTACTTTGATTTTATGTTTTCACTGTTTAAGTCACCAGAAGAAAGAATTACTGATAGTTAACCTGTCTGTTTGAGGTACAAAAGACACCATTGGGTTATTTGGAGAAAGAAGGAACAACTAATGATTTGAACGACATACCCATATTGCGTGTACGTAGACCTTATCCTGCCTTTAGCGGATAGAGAGTTGTTTTCGAGGACTCTCAGATCAAGAAAACTAAAAATAAAATTATAAGTGGCCTAAAAGATCAATTCTCCTTTGAACACTATATTGCTTTTGTATGCTTTGCTCAAGAACTACCACACACCAATAGTATTTTTTTCCGATTTATCAGCCGGTGTTTGATTAGTCTCGATTAATCTGGATTCATGCCACGTTTTAGTGATAATAGATGGTCAGCAATTGCTGCTGCTGCTAGTGAAAGTCAAGACTGCTATTCTTTCTTTTTGTTAAAATTACTTTTTCAAACCTGAAACACTGCTAATAAATGGATTGACTTTGACTGGCACAATGGATCTTTTAGACACACATCTATGTAAAATAGTTGAGTGTAGTGTATGTATCTGTCAGTATATTGCTTGAGATGGAGTATGTATTCATTAATTTATCTTGGTATTGCCCAGTAAATTGAAAGCTAGCAACTCTGATGTCACTGTTTGCATGCTAGTATTGACTTTTTAAAAAAAATCTATCGATAAAAGTGCAACACGTGATGTGTGGGTAGAGGCATACCACTGGTTAACACTTGTCACAAATAAAAGCTTGGTGTTTAAGCGAAGAATGGTAGAAAGACCAACACGTCAATTGTTATAGTGATTGGTAGTTACGAGTAATTGAACTCGGTCACGTCAATTGTTATAGTGATTGGTAGTTACTAGTAATTGAACTCGGTGTAATCCTATAAGTGAGGTCTGTATATGCATTCTGACTCCTATGGAAGTCAACCCATCAATTGTGTACTTTTCTTCTCTTGATCCCTCTTCCCCCCTCTTATCTCTTTGCTATGGAAGTCAACATATGACTTTGTCAACAACTTGCTGATAAATATATGTAGACCGTAAGCCATAACACATTTAACACTTTGGAACCAAAGTAGGTTTTACAATAACATATCCAGTGTAATTTCACAGATAAAATCGTGGGAGTATAGAGCGTTCGAATCTTACTTTTACCTCCAGAGAGCTTGTTTTCGGAAGACTCTTAGCTTTAAAGTAGGTTTTGTTGATGTAAAACCATAACAAACTACCAATTAATTCTCTCCAAAACAAAAGTTTCAACACTTACAAAAACACTACAAAAAAATAAAAGAAACCAATTTTCTTGATCTAATATGTTCGATACTTGACTACTAAAACAGCAAATACACTCTTAAAAAATGATAGTAGTACAATGTGTGGGAACAAATGTTGCCTTTTTGACTACAGATTAATCTGAACTTGTAAACTTTTGACATGGTGTATAGAAATGTATCAAGAAATACTAGATTTGAGCCCATAAGTTTACATCACAATAAAAATACCAAATTTTAAATCCTGAATCAGCATTTAACAACCTGGAGAGTGATATCAAGGTGTTGTGGTTGCTTCTTTGATCTTTTTAATCGTTTTAACATCTGTCTTAAAAGACTTAGCAAGTACCAATTCACTGATTCCACTATTGAAAATTGATGTTGGCAATGTAACAGTGCCAGGACTAGCACTACCAAGAGCAGCTACACCAACTGCTTTTCTCTTATGATCAAAATTATACTGATAATGTTGTAATCCTTTAGGAAACAGAAAAATATCCCCTGTTTTTAGCCTCTGAGCGTACAGAACACCCTTTGTATCGACAAAACCAACCTCTAATACGCCTTCCAGGAGGAGAAAGAGTCCAGTAGCGCGAGAATGGTAGTGAGGCGGGTTCACAGAACCTGGAGGGAACTGAAGCACAGCTAGTGACACACCTTGACCATTAAGAACTGGAAACTCTGCCTTTGTAGCCTTTGTTGTAGTACATTTATCTACTGACTTTTGAAATATACCGCGCATCGCGGTGTATGTGAAGTAATTGCCATCAACAGAGGTTTGATTTTCAGGGGATGTGAAATCTAAAAGGATGTCTGGATCACTTGCTAGTGTTGTTGTGGATATGACAATTGTAAAAATTGAAATTAGAAGCAATAAGGAAGATTTAGTGAAAATCCAGGCCATGTTTGATTCTTTTGTTTTGATGAATTTTTTTTTTCTAAGTTGTTAATTTCTTTTGATGGTTAACATGTTCAATTTATAGTGTGTTTATAAGTAGCATACCAAAATTATTGTATTATATGGACTTAAAATTGAATGAGTTAGTGGCTGACAAAGTCAAATGATTCATTCAATTGAGCAATTTTTAATATTGTAGGGTATATATTATCAACTGATTTCAATAAAGTTTCAAGAATTATTCAATTTTGAATTAAATTGAATGTGCAAGTTTACCAGAAACAAAATATGATAGAAAGCTGAGAGGCACCGCGCTTAATAAATGTGGTGGGATGGATGAGATCGTTATATTTTTATACAAGAAGGCTGGAAATTGAGCTTTGGAATGAATTTATTATATCAAATGATTTTATTTAAAAGAATTGCTAGGGGCATGAAGTAGTAAAGGAAATACTCATGCATAATATTAGTAATATATCATCACTAGAAGCCATATAATCTGTTTTTATTAATGGCATGGTAAAATATTAGTGGATTAGTTTTTTAGAAATCCATCAAATTTGTGACCATATAGCAACAACTACAACAATAGTGAAATCTTACGAGTGCTGTCTAGGAAAAGTAAATTGTTAATAGACTTTCCGCTACTAGCTAGATAGAGGTAGAGAAACTATTTCCAAAGAATATTGACTCTAAGTGAAGCAAAATTGTGATTATACATGTCTAATCGATAAATATAGTTGCTCACTATCATGTATTAAATAATACGGGTGAATTTAGGATATTGAATACAATAAACTCTATATTTGTATTGAGAAATTCAATCAAATGTATGAATTTTATTTATTGCAAATTTAATAACATAGCTTTCTTTGATACTTTCTACTTTACCTAACCTTAGTTTTTTATTTCTTGGTTGTTTCAAGAATTATTCAAAAAGCTGCCATGATGAAAAAGAAAGAGTCTTCTATTGTTTTGACAAAATTCTTAGTCACACTTGTTATACCAACTGTTAAATAACCGTGACACAATAAAGATTGAAAGCTCAATGGTTAGGACCATGCTAAAGTACCTTTGCATTTCGGGTTTGAGCCCCAAATATGATAACACTGCTGGAAAGGTAGCTAAAATATGTTACTTGAATGAAACTATTTAACAGTATATTATATACATTGCTAAGAAACAAATACTTGATTTGTTGCTCGGAACCAACAAGAGGTAGTATAGGAATATTCACATGTTGTTCATCGAAAATGTTTTTTTCCAGATTAATTTATGTGAATGAATCTTGTGAAGGAACCCTTATGGTCTAGATTCCATTTGTAAGACAATATATTGAACATGAAAGTTAAGGAGTTTGATATTATGTAATATATGACCAATACATAAAAAAAATGTAACAATATCCGAAATAGCTTCAAAATATCTTTCACCTCAAAATACCCTTCCCCTCAAATATAGGTCCACACCTACCCTTCTAGTTAACATAAGTATCCATGTGTGTGTTAAATGTCACATAGACGCCGCATGGATGCCAGTTGTAAACACCAAGCATACCTCACCTCCACATAGATGACTACGGAAAAGGGTCAAAACTACCCTTAGGCTATTCAAAATAGTTTAAATATACCCTTAAATTATATTTTGATTCAAAAATGCTCTACGATCTAACTATTGAACTACACTTGCCCTTCCGTTTAACAAAAACATTCCTGGCATTAACCTTCTCTCAATACAAACTTGAGTCGAATGGTGAAGTATGTACCTTGTTGAGCACGTCTCGCAACTTACAAACTTCCACAAATTTTCGAACTCTACTATTGTTAGAGTCAGAGATTTTCAATGTCTACATAAACCACGAAGAAAGAGCAAACATAATACTCCCATCTATCAAATAATAGTTGTCCACTATTGACTTGACACATCCTTTGCAAAATAATAAATAATAAGAGTAATTAATATTACTATGTTATCCTTTTGACTTTATTATTTCTCGAATTTCTAAATTAGACTAACTATTTTCATGAGAAGGGAGTATACATTGTTGAAAAATAGTATATACATAACTTATTTCTTTATCTTGTTATTAAACTTAACCACGAAAGAAAAGAAAATAGAAAAATTAATAAATGCACAACTTATTTCTTGTCTCATTACTAAACTTACCACGAAGGGAAAAAATTACGAAAAAAATAAATATAGGAATAACTTATTTCTTATCTTTGCTACAAAACTTAACTATTAAGAAAAAAACAAATATCAATTATGAATATCAGTAGCAGGAAGTGTAACGGCAAAACACAATCAATGGAGAAAGAACAGAGCAAGAAAAATGAGAGTAGTAATACTTGTCTGTCCATGCTGTCGGAGGGATGTATCGCCGAGATCTTTGCCTTTACGAGCCCACCGGACGTTTGCCGCTTTTCCTTAGTCTCCACATATCTCCATTCCGCCACCAATTCTGATTCCGTCTGGGCAAAGTTCCTGCAGTCCGATTATCTATCCATCATCGCCAAATCACAGACTCCAATCCCCGATTTTCGATCACTCAAGGATGAGTATGTTTATCTCGCCGATAATTGATGATGAAGGTCGCAAGGTAAAAAAAAAATGAAAATCATTCTAACTTTTACTGCTATTTATCTAGTTACTTGTTATCTAAGTTGATAGTAGATCTGAATATCAACAATTCTATCATCTTCCTTGCAAATGTCATATTCATTCATGGAGAATTGTATACGCTTGTCATTTTTTGCGTCAATTGTCGACTTGCAACCACAAAACTAGTCATAATTCGTTACCAGAAGGCTATAATTAAGAGCAATTAAGCACGTCATAATTTATGCTCGTATCTCTAAAGCAACTGCTGCTTTGTTGCTCATATCTTTATTTTGTAAAATGTTCGTATGGGCAAACATGTCTAGTTTTCATCTTGTTAAACCTTGTTGTTTTTCATATACGTCTGCTTACTGTATATATGTTGTTGTACAACAGACTTTCTTACTTCTTAGGTGCAAGAGATCTTAATATAGTACAGAGTGATACACCTGACGTTTGGCAATAGATTTCTGTACCAGACTCCAGGTTCGCCATTACCTTATTATATATAATTAAAGCTTGTGTCAATATTTAACTATTTTAGTATCATATTTTCTTGCAACCCTGCTTTGTCCCTTTTAGAGAGGAGAGTCTTCTTAAAACAATCTCTCTACCCCACTAAAGTAAGAGTTAGGTCTGTATAAATACCACCCTCCTCTCTAGACCCCGTTTGAGAGTTGTTGAAGAATTTAAAATGAAAAATTTGTAGTTGAAACGATGCTATCTATGTTTTCTCCTTATGAATGGTTTATTTGGGAGTATTGTAATTATTCTGGAATTGATTGTGATGCTCTCGAAGATGTTGATTCACTTGACCCTGATAATCCAGTTCCTAAACTTAGAGACGATGGCTGGATTGAGTTAAGTAAAAACTAATTAAAAGCACATAAATTGTAAAGAGAATATCTTTCAATAAACAAAACTCTCTAAACGGCCGCTAAGAAAGAATAAACCTCTCTTATACAACTTATTTCTATCTACACTTATCGAACATCCTATAAATTATAATTAATATATGCATAACTTATCTTTTATCTACTTCTAAAAGTTAGTTGTTGCAACAAGATTTGTATGTGACAGAAAAATTAATTACAATCACAAATAGAATATGGAGAAACATATTTTATTCATCAGGACTGTGAGTACATACAAGTTAATCCCTGTTGAAGAAGAAGAAAACTAACGATTGGAACATGTCAAAGCAACAGCTATAACTGACCTATCTAAGTGCTGATGATTGAAACATGTCAAAGAAACATGTCCAACAAAACTGACCGATGAGGTTACATCACTAATGTAGACTTATAGTTACATTAGAATTAAACTAATTATATTCATTAAGATTATATTTCGTCTTTAATTATAGTATGATTAGGATTATATTACGACTAGAATTACTATTAAAATTACTGTATTCTTAGGATTTTATATTATTAATGATTGCAATATTAGTATTATAGTATGGTATTATAATAGGACTCTACAATTCTCTCTTATATACGAAGTATGTTAATATATTATTCATCAATACTACCAATATTGATCAACATATCAATACTATCAGTATATCAATATTGATTAATATTATCAATACTATCAATACAATTCTTTATTTTTCAAATCTTAGATGTGAGATTTCTACCGTCCCTTGATAACTTTCTCATAAGATTCATGATTCGAGGGCCCAGCCCTTGATAACTTTCTCATAAGATTCATGATTCAAGAGTCTGGGTCATTAAGGGATTGTTTCTTGAACAAGGATGACTAACTTTTATATCTTTATGAATATTTTAAGAATTAATTGAATATTAAAATGCCTCTTTGAGTAATACAGTACCTTTTCAATCGGCATGAACTAAAGTATAGAGTTGAATAGTCTTCAAAAATTTTAACTAGAAATACCTTGTAGAATCCTAATTAAAATTGGACACCGGCTTATAACTTACAAAATTCCACAAATTTTCAAGGTCTGCTAATGTCGGAGTCCACAAATTCCAATGTCTGCATTAACCACGAAGCAAAGCAAACATAATAATCCCTTTATTGAATGATTATTGTCCATTATTGACTTGATACATAAATAATAAGAGTAACATTATTAGTGTATTACCATTTGACCACATTAAATTTAATGATCTGAAAAATGTTATATGACAGCTAATTTTTAATAATAAGAATAAAATAACACAAAGAGTAAATTACTTTTTAATTTTTCAAATTGAACAAGTATTATAAAACAAATATTTTTAAAGTATAATAAACAACTATTTCTAAAGCGAGGAAATATATATTATTGAGAAGTTAATATACGCATAACTTATTTCTTATCCGCATTAAGAAACTAAACCAGGAAGGAAAATAATTATAGAAAAATGGAAAAATACCCAAGTACCCCCTCAACCTATGTCCGAAATCCCATAGACACACTTATACTATATTAAGGTTCTATTACCCCTGAACTTATTTTATATGTAATTTTCTACCCCTTTTTAGCCTACGTGGCATTAGTTCAAAAAAAAGTCATCCGTCGTTGGGCCCACAAGATAGTGCCACGTAAGCTAAAAAGGGATAAAAAATTATTAATAAAATAAGTTCAAGGGGGTAATAGGACCTTAGTATAGTAGAAGTGTGTCTCTGAAATTTCGGACACAAGTTGAGGGGGTAATTGGGCATTATCCCTAGAAAAATTAGTATATGCACATCTTATTTCTTATCCCGTTAACAAACTTTTATCTCGTTGTTAAACTTAACCACCAAGGAAAAAAAATTATAAAAAAAATAATATACAAATAACTTATTTCTTATCCAACTACAAAACTTAATCGGTAAGAAAAAAAAATATTTAATATATAAATAACTTATTTCTTATCCATTTACAAAACTTAATCGGTAAGGAAAAACAAATATTTACTATAAATAGCATGATATGTGACAGCAAAACACACTCAATGGAGAAAAAGAAAATCGAAAATGAAAGTAATGATCGTCTATCCATGCTACCGGAGGAATGTATCGTCACGATCTTCACCTTTACAAGCCCGTCGGACGTTTGTCGCTTTTCCTTAATCTCTAAGTTTCTCCATTTAACCGCCGATTCTGATTCTGTTTGGGCAAAGTTCCTACCGTCCGATTATCTGTCCATCATCGCCAAATCAGAGACTCCAATCCCCAATTTCCAATCACTCAAAGATGTCTATGTTTATCTCGTCGATCATCCACTCTTAATTGATGAAGGTCGCAAGGTAACAAAATGGAAATCATCGAGTCTCTGGTAATCTAAGATAGTAGATCTGAATAGCAACATTTGTATTCTTTTCCTTGCAAATGTCTGTGTTCATTCATGGGGAATTCAACCTTTGACTAGTTTGTTGTTTTTTTTGGGAATTTGCTTGTCAAAGAAATTCCACTCATAAGTAGATTCACATTGTGATCTAAGTTTCATTTTCCATTGAGAGTGAAAAATTGTTGTCATTTGCTAATCTGAAATACTGAATCCAAAAACATTATATATGCTCGTCATTTTTTGCTTAATTGTTGACTCGCAACCACAAAATCATGCACATTAGTCATAATTCTTTACCATCTTCGAGTTTTCCTTGGGAAGAAAACTATAATTAAATTTGATATTAATAGTTATTTAATCCTCAAATCAACTATTGCTTTGTTGAAACCTCAAAATCAACTATTGCTTTGTTGAAACCTCAAAATCAACTGTTGCTACAGTTGCGCATATCTTTATTATTATTTCATTGTTATGAGCAACATGTCTAGTTTTTATATTGTTACCTTACTATCTTTCATCTATAATCTTTCTACTTACTGTATGTTGTACAACAGAGTTTCTCATTAGATAAATGGACGGGAAAGAAATGCTACTTCTTAGGTGCAAGAGATCTTATCATATCATGGGGTGATCCGCTAGAACATTGGAAATGGATTTCTGTACCAGAGTCCAGGTTCACTATTACCCTGCATATATGTTGATGCGATTGCTTCTTTTTTAAGCTAGGTGTCAAGGATTTAGAGTTTTAGTAATGTGAATGTTTATTACTTTTTTTTGAGCTAAGTGTCACGTACTTAGAGTCTTACTAAAGACTCGTGCGGCACCTGACAACTTAGTCACTAATCTTTCAAGATCTTGTAAGCTCAAGTAAGCTTTTAAGACTAAAATCACTAAGAGAATGCAAAGAAAGACTTGAAAAAAACAAGAGAGCCAAGTTGAATGATTTACAAATGAATACCCTACCTATTTATATATACTAAAACATAGCAGTTAGTGCAAATAAAATTTACTTTACAAGTCTCCTCGATAGTTACACTTTGCTTCTCAATGGAACTCTCTACATGTTCTAGGATATTTCAAGTTCTTCCAAGATATTTTCTGTGACATTCTAGAGAATTCTAAGAAATTTCATAGCCTTCTTAAAATGTTTAAACGCTTCTAGAGTATTGTAGAAACCTGTCTACAACGCTAGGCCCCTATCCGAATGTAAAATTTGTGACGTGACATAAGGGTTGGTTTGAAACAATCTGTCTACCCTAAAAGTAAGACAATACTACCCTCTCTCAATCCCACTTGATAGATTAACCCGAATATGTTGTTATTGCTGTTGAATTTAAAATGAAGATTTTGAAGTCGAGAATTAGAGCTATCTATGTTTTCTCCTTATTGATTGTGAAAGCAGATTTCCGGAGGTAGCTAAGCTGGAGCTTCTATGGTGGTTTCAAATTTTGGGAACAATAAGAGCTGGGGTTCTATCACCATTGACATCCTACACAGCTTACCTTGTTTACAAGTTAGAAGATTATTATTCTTATGGGTTTGATGATAGAAAAGTGGAGATTTCAGTTGAATTTATTGGTGACAAATCTGCAAACGTGCGGTTCGCTTCTTTGAATCCGGATCATCCTAGTAACATGGAGCTTGATCATAAACCAGTTCCGAAACTTAGAGATGGTGGCTGGTTCGAGTTAGAATTGGGTAATTTTTCGACTGAAAATGAAGATGATTGCATAGAGTTTACAATTGAAGATGTGATACCTGATTTTCATGCAAAAGGAGGGCTTATTGTTGAAGGATTTGAGATCAGGCCAACAATGCCAACAATTGCTTAGCGATTTTACTGTTGTTATTCAGTCCTTTAGGCAACCAGTTTAAGTTTTGCCTTTTCGAGGCCTTTTTTCTTCTTTGAAAACCTGTTTCTTTGCTGGAATGAAGTAGCACAAGTTTCGAATATTATGATACATTTTGAATATTATGATACATGGTGTTAGCGCGCCTACATGTTTTCCCCATCCATTGCATTCTTCTAAGCTCTTCTCCGTCCTATATGTTTCACGAGGGTCTATTGAAAATAATTTTCTATACATTTCTACCACCATAAGGTAAGGGCTAAATTACATATAAGTTATCCTTTTCGGATTTTACTTACAAGATAACTAGAATTTTTAACCAAACTAAGCCATTATACAAAACAATTTACCAAAGTAGTACATTTTTCTAAAATTTTACAAAACTAGTATAAACGTATTTCACGGTAACGTTTTAGGGTATATTTTATTTTTTAAAAACTAACAGCATTAGATTGATATATGTTATTGTAAGTAACGTTTTACTCCTAAAACGTTATTTTCAGTAACGTTTTACTCCTAAAACGTTACTGTGAGTAACATTTTAGAAGTAAAACGTTACTTACAATAACATATATCAATCTGACGCCATCAACTTTTAAAAAATAAAATATATTCTAAAACGTTACCGTGAAATACGTTTATACTAGTTTTGTAAAATTTTAAAAAAATATATTATTTTGGTGAATGACTTTATATAATGACTTAGTTTGGTTAAAACCTCAGATAACTAAGAGTGATAATTTACCTTCAATTGAGTGACTTACCTCAGAAGTTAATCCTAAGAAACAATAGACTCCCAATATCTTGCCAAGGTTGTGCTATGTTGTTGAGTCAGGAAAAAAGGAAGGATGCATTCTTTGTGTTATATACATTTGAATGAAACCAGATCTCATGAAATTATATTGAATATTTGACGATATATATTTTGCTAAGAACCTTGTTTAACAAGCACAAATCATCTTAATAAGCAACAAATTACTAAGACCAAAGAAAACGATCTCGAAAATAGCAAGTTTACAAGCATCAAACACAACATGGAAAGACTATTATAAGGATATTGTTCTAATTAAACCTGTATAAAGACAAGTCCGTCGAGGAACGACGCACAAACATTATTTCTATCAGCAATACCTGGTAGCAAAATCAGTTCTTATGAGCCTCTTCTTCACCCTTCTGTTAAAGCAAAAAAACAAAAACAAAGATAGTTGAGAATAAAAGTTCCAAAATTATGTCTACAAATCTGTGAAATTAGTCGAAATGCGCGAAAATTGATCAAATCGAAAACATTATAACATTCCATCTGAAACAATACATACCTTATCAGCTTTCTCTCTCTCAGCTCTCTCCTTTTCAGCTTTCTTCCTCGCCTTCTCCATTCTCTCTCTTTCCATTTTCTATTTCCCCCAAAAAACAACAATTCAATAAATAAGTACTCAAAACTTCAAAATCACACATCTAAAACATCTCAATTCAATTTCTATTTATCCATATCTCGTAAACACTCGATGCTAACGTAACACATAAAAATGAAATCGAATGAAAAAATATATACGACCTGAATGTAAACAGTCTCTTTAGCACGTTCTTCTTCGCTGAGAATTCGACCTTTGCTATCGGAAAAGTAACGAAGACCGGAAGCCGATGATCTTCCACCACCTTCCATTAAACGACGGACTCCACTGCTTGAAACGACAGATCTCATTGCCATATTCTGCGGATTATATTTTTTTAACAGAGAGGTGACCGTAATTTATATATAAAAGAAATCACTTTGAAGGTTCCAGCTGATTCTGCGCTCTCACGGATTTTGTTGCCACGTACTGAGGCTACCAGGCTCACATCTAAGATGTTTGGCTCATAGCTAATCAAACTGAATTAAAAGCTGGTTTTTAATTTATTTAATTGTTTGACAATATTTAAAATAATTTATTTTAAGTAAAAAAAAATATTTTAAGCCAAAAATTAAAAGTTGGGGTAGGAGTGCCTTTTTTTTTTAGCTTATAAGCTGTTCTAAGTTGACCACATTTTTATTTTTTTGTCGTTAATATTTTTATACAATCTCCAAATTATCCACATAACCCTAACATCTCTTTCTTCTATTTTTCTCTTTTCACGTTTGGCATAGCAACTTCAGCACTTTTATCCAAACGCATAACTGCTTATTTTAAAAATAAGTTTCAGCACTTTCAAAAGTACTTTTTTAAAGCTGCTTTTATTAAGTCCATCCAAACGGGCCCTAATTAATGAACTTTTAGATAAATTGAAAGGGAAAATTATATAGTTATCGGAAATAGTTTTAGTATTGATAACTTTTATATATAATCACTTAAAAATAGCTTATTTTTAATAATTATAGTTTGATAATTACAATTTATATGGAGGAGAGAGAAGAGAAAAAAAGTTGAAGAAAGGTGAATTGTATATGTTAATCGGTTAGATAATTGTATATTATACATATGTATTTGTATATATGGCGAGCGAGATTGGAAGAGGGAGGAGAGAGACAAGCGAGAGATGGCAGAGAGTGGAGAGAGACAAGCGAAATTGGGAGGTATGACATAGAGTAAGAGAGATATGAATTTTATATGTATATAGGTTAAATAATTGCATATTATATATATATATGTATTATGACAAATTATACATATACAAACATGATTAATTATAAAAATTCGAAATCAGCCTATATATTTAATGTGTAATGTTAGCCGCGAATTATAATTATAGCAACTATAGCTATGATAAATAATTAAAATAGTACAAATTTACTTTATTGATTAATTTTTCTATATTTTTATTAGTTATCTATAGTGTTTAATTTGGTATTTTAAAAATAACTATGAAATTGTATATTTGTTTTTAAAAAATATTCTCCAAGAATTTGGTGGAAAGGATGCGAACGTTCTCCAATGCATAGTGTATATTGTACCTTGTGTCTTTAACCATATATAAAAATTTCTCTAATTTGAAATATGAGAAAAGATATATTTGAATTTGTTTCGAATTTTTAGAAAGATATTTTGACTATGTGAGTGTTTAATTATCCCACAAAACTTTTAAATACCTTTATAAATAGATCATTTTGCCCGATTTTCTCATCAATTTCGGATTTTAAATGTGTGTGATGCACTCTCTTTTTAGTTAATTTTTTTAATTTAATATTAATAAAATACGGATTTAACCAGACCCAAATATTGAGCTTGCAACTTCAAGTATAAACTTGATTTAAATTTTTGTTAGACAATTTTTGAGAATCGTCCAAAATTTTGCAACTTCAAGTATAAACTTGATTTAAATTTTTGTTAGACAATTTTTGAGAATCGTCCAAAATCTTGCAACTTCAAATATAAACTTGATTTAAATTTTTGTTAGACAATTTTTGAGAATCGTCCAAAATTTGAATCTAAATTTCATCACCTAAGACTTCCCCAATTTGCTTATTATTAGCCCTAAATTGGAAATTCGAATTGTTAGGAAGCTTACAGATTGGGTTTTTTGTTATGTTAAGTTTATTATGGTGCTCATTTTAGCATTGCTCGTTGCCTGAAAATTTCGCCGGAGCTCCATTGCCGGTTTTATGATTCTTTCATCTATTTGAATAAGTTTTTACTATTAGGTATGTTAGGACGTGAGAAACTTGTTTTGTTTGACAATCTTTTGGTACAAAATTAAAAAACTTTGCATCGAATAAATTTCATCATCCTTAAGAGCTAAAGGCTACTCATCTATCGATAAAATGTGTGAATGAGCGGAAAACAACCCATCTCCGTATAATAGTATTAAAACTTTAGTATCAGTTTTTAGGGGCTCATTGGAATTGTTGTTTTCTGATTCCCCTGACCTGCACAAGGGAGTGTTAAGCCATAACAAGAACAAAAAGACGGTAAAATTGGGGAAGATGATGTATTTAAAGTACACGTAACTAAATAATAAAGAAAATTGACGTTTGATATTTTTTAATTCGTTTTTGAAAGTAAAAGTTTCTATTCACGAGTTTTATTTGTGTGTAAACAAACATAAGGAAAAAGGGATCAGAATAGTCTATTTACAAAGTTACTAAAAGTTTTGTAGGGTAATAAAACACTTGCATAATTAAAGTATTTTTTTAAAATTCGAGATAACTTCAAGTGTTCATTTTATGTCTTTTTTCTTGTAATATTACTAACATGATTTTTCTTATATATTAATTATATGATATATAATACATGAAGTCAATTAATATTAATGAATATATTATTTTTTTCCCTGATACATTCTATTAAATGAATTATTTGTTAGAATTATTAAAACAATATAATAGGTATGCATTAATTTTGTATACTAGTACTAATTATTAGGAGTAATTTGTTTGTGTTAAATACACTTTTTGCTATATACTTTATTTATAATAACGTAAAAGATTTTCAATCATGAATTAGTATAATTGAAGATATTACAATCTCACAATTTACACGTCTTTTTTCATCGTATTAATGAACAATGTTTCTATAAATAATATATTTTCAATTTATAAATTAAAATATATACATTATTACAAATATTAAATATTAATTTTATACTATATTTTTCCGGAGCCTTAAGCCTAAAGAGTAATAAGGACCATATCTGTCATTCTGTGTTCTCCGTTTTCAACACCTCAATTTTGAGTTCATTTGTGAAATTCAAAATCTGAGTTTAGAGAGGAGAAGAAGGGGCAAACGATGTATCATCCTACTAGAGGCGGCGTTCGTGGCGGCCGAGATCGTAAGCTTTCTTTGCTCATATCTGTTAATCTAGGGTTTCGTTGTTTTTGTTCTTCTTGTAGTATTACGTTTTATCAATTGTTAGTGTAATTTGGTTACATATGGTTAAAATTTGAGAGAATCGCTAATACTCGAACATAGATCGAGGTTTTTCTTATTATGTATTGAATTGAAGTTGAGATTATTCAAGTTGTTGTTGTTAACCTAGCACTCGTTGAGGATTAGATAGGAAGGAAGATATGATTTCCTATATGGAGGTTGAGGAATTAAGGTAGAGAATTAGTAGGTAGTCGAGTATTGTCTAGTTTCTCTTATCTTACCAATTTCTCTGTTGTTTCCTTTGCTTTAGTTATACTTGTATGATTTGTTGTTGCTACATGACTTTTTCATTATTGTAGTTGCTCTTGATTTTTTATATGCTTTCTCGAGCCAAAGGTCTATCGGAAATGATCTCTCAGGGTAAGGCTGCGTACAGACCATCCTCCTCAGACTTCACTTGTAGTGTAATGGATTGCATTGGGTATGTTGTTGTTATTTAGTAGGATTGGAATGGGGAAGTTTTATTAGGAGTTACAAATAACAACAATTACTGTTACTATGCTTTCGATCCGAGGAAGTTGGGGAAAAAGTTGGAGGAGGTATGAGTTTGTAAATTCAGCTTGTCTAGCTCGGTGGGTCATACATCAGGTTGAGGTTTTAATATTATGAAGGATATTGTAGTAGTTTTGTGGTGTAGGAACATTATGTTAAGGGTTACATGACCAGATTTTTTAAATGATAAAAGAAGAAGAAATGATACAGGCAGAGAGTTTGCTGCTCCAAAAAGGAAAAGTGGGAAAATATTGGTCCTGTTTTTACCTGTTATAAAAATGACAAAGAAGAGAGCTGCTGCAACCATTATCTTATGTTTAAGTTTTGGGTGAAGTTAGAGGATATGTGAAGGAGGAGAGTAAGGTTGGGTTCTAGGGACAATGTTCAACGCATGCTTGTTTTCTGATAATTTGATGTTTGTATTTTGCAAGTCAATGTTTATATTTGTTTGATAAAGAAGGTCATATTTCCATTTTGTTAGATTCGAGAGGTTTCCGGTCTTGCTGCTTGTATAGGGTGAATCCTGCATGTGCTCCTACAAATTAGTTCATATTAATTAATGCAACTAGATCTGGTCTGCATTCTTGCTGTTCCTAGAGTCAATGATTATACTTACTTCTCTCAGAAAAGAATATTGAATTATGATGCTTTCTAGATCAGACACGCTTAATGAAGTTTTTTTGTAAATGGGATAGGAGGTTCTTCCTTGGTATCTTTTCTGAAGAATCTAGCTGCTATACATTTGTCCTATTTTGTGGTGTTCCTAATGTATAATTTTTTTGCTGCAACAGAATTTAGTTGGGATGATGTGAAGGTTGATAAACATCGAGAAAATTATATTGGCCATAGTATCAAAGCAGCAGTTGGGAGATGGCAGAAAGGTATATATTCTTGTTCTCAAATTATGTATCACAATTGCAATTGCTGGAAATTACTCGATAAGAAACATATCGATCTTTCTTTGGTCAATAGTCGATGAGAAACATATTGCTTCTTCTGTTTTCCGCAAGGCACATGCTAATTCTGCATTAGTAGTTTGTGTGCATTGTAAATTAAAGAATGGTATGTATGTTGATCCCAATGTATAAGAGCTTTTCTTTCTTTTTTCTTTTTCTGAAGAGATATGAAAAAGTAGTATATCCACGAAGTGTCCCAATAAGCTGCAACATGAAGTACTTCATGGTGTTTTTTTATTTGCTGGCCCAAGTTCAGAGCTAAAATTATGTTATCTATTACCATTCGCCATACGTTATAGATTTTGCCGGAAGTTGTGGTTGTATGTTGTATTGTTTTTTGATCAAGTATAGTTGTTCAGTCAAGTATGATAGAATGCTAAAGTAAGTATACTTCAGGATGAACGATTCACATCGAGTATGTTAATGTCATGAAAAGCATGTAGAAAGGAGCAACCAGATGTGTGAGAACAGTAGGAGGAAATATAAAGTAGTTCACTATTTTTTTTAAACAGGTAAGTAAGGAGTTTAGTACAATTGTAGGTTTAAACCAAGGATCTTCTGTGAGCTTGAATTTAATCATGTTAATGTTGGATGAGATAAACAATAGCTTATAGGATGATGTTTGAAGTCACATGTACCTGCTGATGATATTGTGTCAATTGATGAGACTAGCAAGACGAAAAATTGAAGCTGTGAAGAAGCACTCAAGTGATTGAGGGTTTCCAGACGAGTAGAAATTAGAGAGAATACACGCACAGGAAGTTTAGCTCTTATAAGAATGAAGTTAAAGTGATATTAGGTCGAGATTATGGTATCTAAATGCAAACAATTCAAAGTCTAGGTCATCGTTGTGAAAAGCAAGCGCTTCGTCGATTAAAGTGACTTAGGTGAGGGGAGCTTGAAGAAACGACTTCTTCTGCCGAAGAAGCACAAAGAGGCCAAGCCCTTAGGTAGTGAGTTTTTTTTTTTTTAAAAAAGGTAGCATTTTGTTTATAAAATCAGCAATACCTCAGTACTTGGGTAATACTGGAAAAAACCAAGAGAGAACTTCTAATGATACATACAATCTTTTGCATATTGCTACCCATCTCCAAGTTATTTGAAGTCTACCTCGTCTCCTTTTTACACCCTCACTCACCATTAGCTTCATGCTTAAGAACCGTTTCATCTGGAGGTTGATGCAAAAAATATAAAACAATCTCAAGTGAACTCTACTTATTTGTCCTTAATGTGTGCTACTTGCACCTTTGGCTAATCTTGTATTCTCGGAGCAGATTTTGCAGCCTTGCTTTGTAGACTGACTGTAATTATATTGCTGAGTGTGAGGAGATGCATATTTGTACAAAACTAGCTAGCCAATATTGGTTTTAAATCATTAATAACATGTTGGAATCCTGAGGTACTAAATCCATGTTTTATCTGGGATCCCGGGTGCTTTTTACTGGGGCAAGATGTGGGTATGTTGTACTGGACATTTTATTTCTTCATTACATAGTCTTAACTAGTGGCATATTTTACATCTTACTGTGGTGTTTTCTCCCCCTTGTACAGGGAAAGATCTTCATTGGTACACCCGTGATAAGAAATCCCAGGATAAGGATATGGAGGCAGCAAAAGAAGAAATACGTAGGATTAAAGAAGAGGAGGAGCAGTCAATGAGGGAGGCTCTGGGCTTAGCTCCTAAGCGTGCCACACGTCCTCAAGGTACTCGGCTAGACAAACATGAGTTGTCTGAACTTGTGAAGAGAGGTTCAACTGCAGAAGACTTGGGAGCAGGGCATTCTGAAGCTGCTCGGGTGGATGGTCTTGGTTTCTCAAAGTAAGTACTGATTTCACTAGCATTGAATGTTCTCTTTAGATTTTTGTGGTTCTTATGGGTCATTTTGTTTCACCTTTTCTCCTCGCTCTCGTCTCTGAATTTCATTGCTAGTTGGGGAATAGGGGCTTGACTTTGAAGATGGAAAGGTTGTAAACTAAAATTATGAGTCAGAGAAAATAATAAAGGACTTTGTTTCTTCTTTATTCTGCAGATTGCCCAAGCCTTGGGAAGAACCAAGTTCACCATCAGCTTTTCCATCTAATCCGATCGATGAGCCTGTAGAAAAGATTAATGCAAGTCTCCCTGTTGCACCCCTACAGAATGAAGAAGAGTCTGAGGACGAAAGGAGCCAAAAGAAGAAGAGACGAGAAGAGAAGAGACGGGAAAAGGATGAGAGGAGAGATAAGCGACATTTGCATGATACAAATGATAGAAGGAAGCATTCCCGCGATTCAGATGACAGGAGGAAACGTTCCCGTGATTCTGACGATAAGAGGAAGCACACCCGCGATTCAGATGACAGGAAGAAACACAAGAAAGACAAGGAGAAGAGAAGAAGACATGATTCTGATTCAGATTAAACTTCAATAAATCCTTTTAGTTATTGTGTGCTTGCTATCATTTACCTTAACGATTTCATTCTGAATATTTGTGTTGAATTCAGTTTGTTCTGTTGTATTTAGATGGAAAAAGGTCAGATATACTCTTCAGCTTTTATTTATTAGTCCGTCGTTAAAAATAACTGATCTTAGGATAAATATTTTCGAAAGTATGTGGACATACTTGATACAAACAATCGAGGGGGATTGAATGAACCCTCAACTACAAAATAATTATTCTTATTTCACATACGAAACGAAATAAAAGTTTGTCACGTTGCTTTCGAGTCTTTTGCGTAAATATGATTGTTTCCAGCAATCGAGGGTACTTTTTTGGCTATTTTCTAGAAGGTTGGTCCATGACGAAATTAACAAAGCAAAAAAATAATTTTTAATTTTTTTTTTAATAAAAATATTAAGTTATTCTATCCAAGCAAAATATAAAAAATAAAAAAATACTGGCTTTTCCACTACTCTAAATAATAATATAATAATAATTCTTGGGAACCAGCCAAAAAAAAAGAAGAAGAAAACTCAAAAAAGAGCCCAAAGTGGAAAAGGAAGAGGAGAGAATACTCACAAGGCTCTTCTTTGCTTTGTTCTTATTCTGTAATCTGTACCCAATTCTGCTTAGGATTTGTTAGGCACATAGAAAAAAGGGAAAACCCCCTTTTTTCAGAATCTTTAATTTGACTGAAATTTGATCTATTGATTTGTTTAACTGATAATTGAAAGATCGATTCTTTGTTTTGTGTGAAATTTGATTGAATTTAACAGGGAGGAAAACGATGGTGTCTGCAAATAGGGAGATGGCTGTTTACTGTTTTGATACATTGGTGTCTCACTACAACAAGGAACAACCTCCTCCTCCTGCTTTTGATGAGGGTGAACAGTAAGCTAATTTTTCTCTTTGCCCCTTTTTGTTTTAGCTTAAAATTACAGACAACCATATTGATAAAGTTTGTGTCTTTTTTTGTTTTCTTGTAGATGGGGTGTCTTGAATTTTTGTATGCATGTATTTGAGTTGAGCTTCTTTTTAGAGTTGGATGTGGAGTGTGCTTACCATAAGAGCAAACCCATATATGTTGAGCTTAGACGAAGAAGTGATGATTTATATAGCCGACCCTAACTTGATTGGGAGTTGGGATTGAGTCCTGATTGTTGTTTTTGTTGCAATGTGTGTGCATATCTTTATTACCCTTTTGTGAATGTGATATGTTTGTGAGATATGTATAGCTATGCATGTACGTGAGTCGAGTTTAAACGAAGAAGTAATGATTAATATAGCTGACCCTGACTTGGTTGGGGCTGAGTCCTAATTGTTATTGCTATGTGTGAACATATCTTCGTTACCCTTGTGTGGCATAGTTTGTGGGGAATGTGTAAATTCCCTTCAGAAGATATGTGCAATTTCTCTATCTTTAGATTGGAATGAGTTGGATTCTTTTGTACAAGTTACTCAACAATTTATTTTCTTGGTTGGATGGTGCTGAGGCCTGGGAATAGGAAGAGTCAATGCTGATTCAATCCTTTTGTGTTCTTGAATCTGGAAAATTACCTGTTTATTTTGTCGTTTAGTGCCATCTGTCAATGATGTGCTCACAAGATGTGATTCTAACTTTTACTGATAAAAAAGATGTGATTTTTAGCTTCTTTCATTCCAATTGCCACTTGTTACTCTTTGTAAGTGTTGATTTGTCATGGCCTTTTCAAAATTGTCTTTTACTTTATATCAGAACATTTTTTCAAATAAGATTTTTATGTAGGGCATTCCTTTTCTATTGGAAGCTTCCCTTCCTTTGTATTCCCCCACCCCACCCCACCCCACCACCATCACCACCACCACCAAATTTCTAATCGTTAGTCTTCCTTGTAACATCTTTTTCTTTCATCAAGTGAAGGTCTGTTCCACGAAGCTTGTTCTGTCTATGTATTTTGTGCTCATGACAAAATTTTCTTAGTATAGTCTTAATAAGTTGGAAAAAGCATCTGCTTTGGACGGTGTAAGGATTTTTTGGTGTCCCTTTTTGTAAGCTAATATCATTCTTAGTCTTTGATTTGTAACTCATGACATGGCAAAATAATACGAAAATAGTTTGGATGTTGCTCTCATGCTCAATCTACATTTCAGCCCGCTGTTTGTGACTTGGAAGAAAGTGGTGAATGGTGGGGAGCCTCGTTTGCGCGGATGCATCGGCACTCTGGAAGCTCGCTGCATTGTTAATGGTTTTAAGGATTATGCACTGACAAGGTAAATTGCAAGTGAAGTTCTTATATTTGAAGTACCGTTTCTTAATAACTCTTTGCAATTCTATTTCATGTTTGTTAGCCAATAAATAGGAATGATATTAAGATAATTGAGCTTCATTATGTGGCAAAGAATTTGTTGAATCAAAGCCAATTATTGTTGGCAAAACTGTTTGAAGGATTTCATTAGTTGTTTGGCTTGTGTATGTTTGATACATTTTCTATATACAATTTATTGGACATTATTGAGCGTGTGAAAGCATTCTATTTCATACTGTTAGTGTACCATATTCATGAGTAAGTATGTTAGTTTGCAGATAAATGAATCTTGAGATCTTTTGCACTTTAATCTCTTCGGTTTCACTGTTTGATTATAAATGACGTGTTACACTTCCTTTTCCTTGTGCTGACTTGCTTTGAAACCTTAAGTTTGTCACACTCTTGGGTTCTTAAGAAAGTGATTGCTTGCTGCTTTTATTTTCTTAAATTTTGTTACGGCCTAAATAAAAACTTATGTTATATCTGATGACACTGTATCTACGTATTTACATATTTGAATTCATCTGCAGTGCTCTCAGGGACCGTCGTTTTCCTCCGATACAGGCTAAAGAGTTACCTACTTTACAGTGTACAGTTTCAATTCTCACTAATTATGAGACTGCAGCTAACTACCTTGATTGGGAGGTACTGCTTTTCAACTTACTTTTAACTACCTTGATTGGGAGGTACTGCTTTTCAACTTACTTTGAATCTCTGATTCTTAAATCATGGAGGAAATTTACATGTTTGTATGCTTGACATATATCTTTTTGTGATTGTGTCATGGCTTTGTGGATCAAACTCATGAGCACCAAAAGAATTCAAATAAGAAGCAAATTTTGCCATAATTTAGGTTGTCAGATTTCACTTCTTAGAATGGTGTTGACACATTGCCTGGATTATTTGTTTCTAAGACGTTATACTGACCTTGGATGGGATTGTAGAGTTTAGTTTTGTTTGGGTGATGGCTATTGAAAATTTGTTACACAAGCATGACAATCAAATCTGCCTTTGAACTTGTATAACTCCCTAAACATGTATCGTGAAGCTTAGAACAAAGTCTTCTTTTCTTCATTTGCTCCCTCATGAGAATCCGAATTCTTAAATCAAATGTCAGTCATCATTTTACATTTTCTCAACTCTCTTATTGGTTTTTAGATGATTCACCTTCCGTATGTTCTTTCCCGTAAGGTGGTCTATGCTCATGATTAGTCAGTGTGTAAATCCTCGTCATTGTTGACAATCATATAAGAAATTTTTTATTTACCTGCATCCCTTTTTCTCAACTTTGACCACTCGGCCACAACTGTTTCTCTCTTTTTGGTTTGCTGTATTAGTATTTTGTTCTCAAGAATGTAATGGATTTCTTCAGGTAGGGAAGCATGGGATAATTATTGAATTTACTGACCCTAACTATAACACAAGAAGAAACGCCACGTACCTACCTGAGGTGGCTGCTCATGAAGGTAATTTTCTTCTCCCTTACCTATCACCGACACAGAACGTTGTGCATATTGTCTATTTAAGTTTTTCTGGCGCTTGTCGAACTAGTTGAGCTGCAAGATGAACTTATTGAATTTTGTCTCCAGGGTGGACCGTTATAGAAGCAATTGACTCACTGATACGCAAAGCAGGTTATAATGGACCTATAACAGAATCATTGAGGAAGCAAATCCATCTAACTCGATACCAGAGCACATTATTTACTATGCAGTACAGTGAATATGTGGATCATGTTAAGGAAACCCGAGGTCTCGATCCAACTATTAATGGTGTGAAACCTTGAACAACGTATGGATTGTTCGGAGGAATCTTCCACCTTAAGACCAGTAGATGATTTTGGTTAAGTGGAAGATAAACCATTCTAAAATTCATGGTTGGAATATGTTGTTATAGATTCCAACCCTGTCTAGTGATTGTTTTCATAAACGTTTTACGCTATTCTTCGAGACTGAAACTGAACTCATTTTCAGTGCTGAGTGCACCCAAAAAAAATTGAACTTCAACAGTTCCTTTAAAAAGCTGCATTTGTGGCTATGTTTGTTATAATATAACTGTCTGCTTTCTGTGGTTAAAAACTCATTCCTGTTGGCTATGTGCTTTAGTTCTCTACTTGAGAATTTGAGATACAAATCTCGAATATTTTCAAATTGCTGTGAGAATAATTTGTAGTTATTGCTGGTGTCTAATTATTTACATTACTATTGAGCTATGTTGCTCGGATTTTTGTATTCGAGTTGTGCAAAACTTGGTTCAAACACTATAGTACTCGTCATGAATAAATGTTCAACAACATCAGCATATCTGATGTGATTTCACTAGTGATGTCTGGTTGTTTACATTACTATTGAGTTGTGTTGCTCGGACTCTAGTACTCGAGAAGTGCAGAACTAGACTCAAAACACTCTAGTACTCGTCATGAATAAATGTTCAGCAACATCAACATATCTGATGTGATTTCACGAGCTGGTGTCTTGTTATTTACATTACTATTGAGCTATGTTGCTCAAACTCTAGTACTCGCGATGTACAAAACTTGACTCAAAACACTTTAGTACTTGTCATGAATAAATGTTCAACAACAACAACATATCTGATGTGATTTCACTAGCTGATGTCTGGTTATTTACGTTACTATTGAGTTGTGTTGCTCGGACTCTAGTACTCGAGAAGTGCAGAACTCGATTCAAAACACTCTAGTACTCGTCATGAATAAATGTTTAGCAACATCAACATATCTGATGTGATTTCACGAGCTGGTGTCTTGTTATTTACATTACTATTGAGCTATGTTGCTCAAACTCTAGTACTCGAGATGTACAAAACAAAACTTGACTCAAAACACTCTAGTACTCGTCATGAATAAATGTTCAATATCAACATATATGATATGATTTCACGAAAAATTTGACAAAGGTGCGATATATGCATATTTAACTCATGTCTTTGTCTTGTGAGGAGGTAGAGGCAAATTATATTAAGCGGATGTTGACATGGTAGGTATGAACACTATTATAACATAATATCCAATATAATTTCACAAGTTGGCATGAAGAGGATAACGCGTAAATTTCAAAATATAACGATCTAATTTAATATGAAATAAATTATTAGTAATATAATATTTACAAAAAAACGAAATTACCAAAACGTACCTTACGTTTGTAAACCGCTCAATCAGTTTAATTAAAGTCAAAACCACATAATTAACACTGCTAATCACAATTCATAATACAGTTTAACCTCAACTCCTCGACTCCATCGCTATTAAAGACAAAATCCCCCACCCCACCCCACCCCCACCCCCACTCACCCACCCTGTTCTGCTAAATCTAAAGCTCCATTTTCAGTCGTGTACACTAAGTAATCGCAATTTCTCCAATCTCAGGTACTCTCGTTCTCTCTCTTGTTTATGTAATTTTTTTGGGCACAGATTGTTTGTAGCAATTCTCTATTTTGAACTTTGTCGGCGAAGATCTGATCGGAAGTATTGGTAATTGCTACGATATTGGTGTTTCTACGGTAGTTAATTGTAGATAATTTGATCTTCGTTATCCGGATTTGAAAATTGTAGTTTCGTATTTTTGATTTGACTCTCTGTTCGTTTTATATATTTGAGTTTTTGTGTATTATATTATGTTTTTCCTAATTTTCCCTCACATTTAGACTCTAGAAATTGAGGACTTTGGTGTAAGTACAAGCGAGTTCCTTTTTTTTTGTTGATAGATGCAAAAAAAATTATGCTTGAAGAACTTTTTTTTGTTCAAGTTTGAAGCATAATCAATTTAGTTAAAGGCGAATGTTGTAGTCTCTAATCTCTTGAAAAAAGTTTTTCTTTTGGTGTGTGTGTTCATTTTTTTGTTGGATATTTGCATGCAACTCTGGTTTGGCTGGTCAATCTCACCACAGCTGCAGCCATGACAATTGTGTGCTTACTCTGCTCCTTTTTGGTCTCAGAAATGTAAGACTTAAGTGAATTAGTACCCACCGCAGGCACACACCACCAGAAAGTTCATTGGATTCTCACCTGTATTGATTGAATCTTATACGACTTTCCAAAACTCCACCTTTTCTTGTCTCTCTTTTCGGATGAGGTTCATATGTTGTCTACGTTTTGTGTGTCTTTCTTCGTCCCCAACAACCCCTTGAGCCACCTCATAGAGTTAATCGTTTCCTTTCCAATTTTGAAGCATTATAAATTCAGTGAAGGTGAATGTGCTAGTCTAGTCTCTAATCTCATGGAAAAACTGATTTTTTTGTGTGTGTTAGATATTTGCATATCTTAGGTAGGGATTTAAGAATGCTCTTTTTGAATTACAGGTCAAATTGAAGTTGTGATTGAAAATGAATCCAAAAGGTTTGATTTATAGCTTTGTTGCGAGGGGGACTGTTGTTCTAGCTGAGCATACACCTTATTCAGGGAACTTTAGTACCATTGCTGTCCAGTGCTTGCAGAAGCTCCCTTCAAATAGTAGCAAGTATACATACTCATGCGACGGTCACACCTTCAACTTCCTTTTAGATAGTGGCTTTGGTATTCATTCTTCTTACATTTTCTATGTTGTATATAATATATTTCTGGTTAACTGGATTCTGACTAGTTTGCTACCAACACAATTTTGTAGTCTTCCTAGTTGTTGCTGATGAACCAACAGGAAGAAGTGTACCGTTTGTGTTTCTTGAAAGGGTTAAGGATGATTTCAAGAAACGTTATGGTTCAAGTATCAAAAATGATGGCGATCCACATCCTCTTGCTGATGGTGATGAAGAAGATGATGATCTATTCGGGGATCGTTTTAGCATTGCGTACAATCTTGACAGAGAATTTGGGTGTGTATATGTAATTTTTTTTCACCTACAATTTATAATATATTTGTAGCAGCTAGACTTAGTATAGAGTCCAAAATCAGCCAATTAATTTGGATTTATTTATTCTGGAATTACTAGGCCAAAACTTAAAGAGCACATGGAATACTGTATGAACCATCCTGATGAAATGAGCAAGCTGTCTAAATTGAAGGCTCAAATCACAGAAGTCAAAGGAATAATGATGGACAACATTGAGAAGGTAAAGTGTTGATGTTCTATCTCTTATTTTTTACGGGAAGGGTGCATCTGTGGAGTAAGTTATGTAAGAAGACCTATCGTCTCTCGCAATGAATATGTGCTTAGCGAATACAACACCAAAATTATGCTGGTGATGATCAGGCTCTTGCATCAAATAGGGAAGATGACTGGGTATTATTACTCCAAGTTATTGTCAGGAGTAGCTACACGCCATCTGATAGTTGACCATTTTGTATAAGGGTAGTAATATTGTCAGCTTATTGTTGTCTAACTGCGGGAAATTTTAAGCCTTGTGAACTTGTACAATGACGCTTTAAATGTTGATAAAGCCTCTGCTAGTAAGAATGGAAGAGGTAGTCACCAAGTCTGTTTCGCACTAGGAGTTGACGACATGGCTATGATGACGATTGTAGTGAGGTCTAGTATTGATTTTTGACTTTGCAAACTCTCCATAACTGGAGACTCTAAACATATTTTGATAAAGAGTACAAAGTATTAAGAATGTTGCCCACTTTGTACATCATTTTACTTTAATGTTACATTTATTAGATTGTTAATGTATATATTAGACTTAGTGTCCCACATAGGAACAGGTGTATTAAGTACTGTGTAGATATAAGTATAATTAGGCTCAGTATCAATAGGCTCAGTGTAATACAACAGAGTTCATCTTAATAATATGCTTCCCATGCCTTCTCAAAATTTTGATTTTAAACTAGCATGTGTTCTGTATTGTATATGTATTAACTTGTCACCAAGAAAATGATTATGGTTGAGTTATCCACTATTCAGCCAGATGTGGTTGCCCCCCTCTTTCCATCATTTATAGATTCATGGCTTAATTGATACCTTTTTTTGCTATGAATTGTGTTGCTTTTTTCTGGTCAGTACTTCTTTTCGTTGATACTTTTCACCTTAGTTTTTTTCTTGTATCTGTGTAACCTGTTTTTGAAAAGGATTTTCTTGAGCCAAGGGTCTATTGGAAATACCATTTCTACCTCTCACAAGTTAGGGGTAAGGAATGCATACACCCACCCTCCCCAGAGCCAACTTGTGAGATCACAGTGGGTATGCTTATCGACTTCGATACTATTACTGAGGTGTGACACTAGGAGAGAATTGATAGAGTAATCCAACACTTGCTACACCACACATTATCTTCTATTGTTTTTTGTTAAACTTCTTATGATGTTTTAAACATGTTTCTGGAGTTATGCTCCCGAACTTTGGTCCTGGGTATTGTAGAATATGTTTTGCAAGTATTCTGTCTGCTAACTACTCAAGTACTGAAAACATTTGATCGCCAGTGTCTTTGGTTTGTGGGTGGTAGTGATGGTGGTTATCATGTTTATTGTGGTGAAGGATTGGTTGATGACAAGATTATTGGAATGCTCCTGTTCCAAAATAAAAAAGGGATTATCGGAATGCTCCTGATACAGATAACCACCATCACCACCACTTAAGGCCCTAAATTGTATCACTATTGGGTTCAGTTAGTTATTGTTGTCATACTTATAGTAGCATATTACAAATAGATTTATATGCATAGACTAAAATAAGAGAACCCTCCAGTGTTAGAGAGCTTGTAATCATTTTAAGCACAAATGATCGAGTCTTGGAATGCAATGAGGGCTCTATACAACCAACCCAACTAGTGTAGGACCGAGGCATAGTTGATTGAAATATACAAAGCATAAACTTGCAGCAACCAGAGAATATTAAAGTTTCTGGATTAGAGTTTAGTTTTTTCAAGAGTAATCTTAATTTTTAATATTGGTACTTCTTTGGCTGATAATGCTATAGAACAGTTGGGTGAAAAATTTCTCATTGCTAGAACTCTAGGATATAACAGGTATCACATTTTGTAAAATTATCAGAACGACTAGTATTTAGTTCTGAAACTGAAATTTATTGACACCACTTTATTCACATCACAGAATTTGTTACTCCCTCTGTCCCTATTTAGTTGTCCACTTTAGAAGTGGCACACATACTAAGGCACCAGCGATTATCATAGGTAAGTTACAATTTTATCCTCAACTTAAAAGATTATGTAACTCCCCAAGTATAATAAATGTATTTTCTTGTTCCAAAAAGCATGCACACAACTTAGTAGTACTAGAATTTTTCTAGAATTAAATAAAGGCATATTAGGAAAAGAATTGTTGTCCTTTCTGGATTTGTTAAAATGGACAAGTAAATAGGGACAGAGGGAGTAGCATTTTTGTATTGCATTTCTAAAGGTGTAATGCTACATCTAGTTGATAGTGTGGAGATTTACTTAAGAATTGAGGATTGCATGCATGTGCAAGAACTCAAACTGCGATGACTGTTCTCGCTTAAGTGAGGTTGGGGATTTTCTAGAATCATCTCGCTTCCAAGTCGGATGTGCTTTGATGAGTTTGACCTGCCTCGGTAAAACTGTTGCTGCAAACTGCAGTCTTTTCTGCGTAAATTCTTAATTATTTTTTTGGACAAGTTTTATTCAAACAGAAAATCAGATCAAGAGGTACTATTATTAGGTTCACTACATTTATCATAATGGAATTAATAGATAGATATCCTCATAATCATGGGTTTTAGGCTTTTAGTGACTAAGGAATGCCATTAAAGTCACATGACAGAGGGTGAGTGAATAAATCTTACATGAAAATAAGAGGTTGCCTCTTTTGTGGATAATTGAGAAACAGAGAGTAGTTCATCCTAATAAGCTGGATCTCAGTTAAGTGCTATTTTGCTTGATTCGTTTCCTGACCCTCCATACAAAGTGGCTGTTTTTCTTGTTTTTGGTTAACATTTTATATAATGAAAAAATATATCAAGATATGATTATGTAAATCAAGTTTTGAGAAAGGTAAAACTGGAAAATTAGCGACTGTTAGAAAACTCATCATTGCTTTTGCTTCAGTGTGTTTCTTAGTTATATTCTTTGCTTCTTCTGGTTGAAATTACATATTAAAGACATTTTGTGTTGCAGGTTTTGGATCGGGGTGAGAAGATTGAACTGCTAGTGGATAAAACCGAGAACCTTCAGTTCCAGGTAAGTGCTATTTTACAGAGTATTTGCACTTAAAATAACCTTAGTGATTGTGCTGATTTACAACTGTGAACGCGTTCAGGCTGACAGCTTCCAGAGGCAAGGAAGGCAGCTTCGTCGCAAGATGTGGTTTCAGAACCTTCAAATGAAACTGATGGTTGGTGGTGCTATTGTAATTTTCATTATCATCGTTTGGCTTTTCGCTTGTGGAGGTTTCAGTTGTTGAAAAGAGATTTCGACGTAATCATTTGGTAATAGTACACTTTTATCTCTCATTTCTGTAGTGTACAAAACCTTTCTTGTAAATGTGAGACAATGCTGCGGATGCTTTGTTTTGGTGACTTAATACTATGGTATGGTACCTATTAGTATACGTATGGTTAGCTTTCGTGTGTAATTTAGCGTAACGATTCATCATACGATTGTAAAGAGTGGCTAGACGTACATACCACAACGCGTACAGGAACAGCAATAACAACTACTTAAAATCTGAAAATATGTGTGAAGATTCGTGTAATATCTGTTTTTCAGCTCTTTTATTGCTTACTGCTGTTCAAGAAACTGACTGTTTCATAGCTGACAAATTGATAGTACTAATATTATTTGTGCATGATGTTTCATTACTTTTAAAACTAGTGTGACAGTAGACAAAGCATAGATGAAAAGTTGATGTTTATTTGTAAAGACATCATTAGAGTGATTGTATAGATTTTGATGCTTAACAATAGGAATATGGTGTCACTCCACATGTAGTAGACCATTGTGTATTGATTATTAACAATTCTGGTTATCGACTTAACTGATAAGATTTGACGCACACAAAAATTATTAAAAATCATTTTTAAAAAGGTGGCAAATGAGTTGACAAATTGTATCTTTCTTAAAAGTAAATATTGAAACATTGTAGAATAATTGAGAGTTCAAGAAAACTAAAAATAAAAGTATGAAATTAAATTTTCGTCAAGAACTTTATATGTCAAATGGTATTAACGTTATTTATCAATTTACTATTGAGTACTCGATTAACTCATTAAAAAAATATCAAACCGTTAATAATTGATAATATTAAATGAATAACCTATTATCGATAAAATCAACTGTTGTGATTTGTTAATCAAATTCAGAAATCATCTTATGTTTGTTAATAAAGAGTGATAAATCTTTAGTCAAGTGTCATTAGAACCAATATCGCTAAAGGTTTGGAGACATACAAAAAGTTCTTATTGCCGTTAAAAATACATATTTAGCGGAAATTAATTTTTTATTATTGCTAATAATAATTTTTTATGTAAAACTTCGAAATAAGACAACATTAAGGAATTCTCTAAGCGAACCCATCAATATGATTAGTCTCTCAATGAAATTCTCTTAATAATATAAAGGTAAAATAGGTATAAAATAAACAAGTAAAACTAATTATTTATTTTTAGTACGTCAAATAAAAATGAACGAATGAACTAGTTTGAAAGGAAGTAAACAGACAAAAATGCAAATTACCCAAAAAAAAAAGAAAAAAGAGAAAAAGATACATGATGCAAAATGGGAAAAAAACTAATTAATTAATTAATAAATCATATTTCCTGAATTTTGACCAAATTAAAGCATAATTGCTCCAACTGGATCTCAAGCTTATTCTTCTTATTAATTAATTCAAATATTATTATCAATCTTAAGAGGCATTTGAGAAATTTATTTTAAAAAATATTCATTAAATCAGAAACTTAAAAAATAACCTCTTTGAAATAAGAATTATAAATTCGAATGGATTTTAATTTAAATGAATTTTGTTGTGTTTTGATTTTCAATTCCTTTATCAACAAAATTCTTGGTTGTTATAAATAATTGTTCTTCTTTCACGTCTACATTTATATTTCTTACTTTTTACTTTTCGTTTTTTTTTTATATTAAATCCACTTTTTTAATTACACTTTGTGTTGAAAATCTAGCCATTGGTAATTTTTGTGTTCTTTAGTTTGACAACATTGATCTTATTAGGTACATAATGTATACATGATTCTCATTAATCATATGAGATTTCACTCATTATTAGACAATTTTAATAAGCATAGTGAAACATTTACTTTAAAGAGGGATCAAAACATGAAAATAAATAAATAAGCGCCGCAAGTCTTTCTCTATCAAGAAACAACATAAAAAATATCGAAGTCATCAGTTTAAATTTTTCTTATTTTCTAGATCTGATACCTAATTAATAGTTCATTTTATTTTATTTTCTTGGTATTATTTACATTCATATACTAGTAGAATATAATCCTTATATTATAGTGTTGGGAATGAAATTAACAAGTAAATTCAAGCAAACACAAAACCAAAATGATAACAATTTCATAGATATAAAAAAGCAATATATCAAGTGCCACTCTTGAGTCTTGGCTATTTCTAATACCCCTTGCAACAAAACTAACTTGAAAATTTTTTAAAAAAAACATGACATAATTAAACAACATCAATAATTTGATGAAAATGACAAAAACATAGATTCTTAATTCATGATTTTTCTACTTCATGAGCTGCCTCTTTTCCTTCTTCATCAGGTACATAATCTTGAGTTTTCCTCTTCTCCCTTTGATAATTCTTTTCCCCTTGTTATTTGGTTTCTCTTCCGCTTCATTTTCTGTCTCCACCTCTTCTTCGTCCAGTTTCACATCCTCTAGAGAGAGAAAATCACAAAAAGAAAAAAAATGAATTTAATATTAAGAAAGAAGAAAAGCAAAACAATCTGAATTCCACCAGTTTGACTAATTTAGATTTGCATAAAAATAAACGAAGGGGAGGAGGGGGTTCTAGTTGTCTATATAAAAGAATACTTCATTTCAAGGTTCAGATTTCGAGACCATTAAGAGTAACAAAATCTTAATCATTTGACCATACCCCTAGAGTGGTATAAACAATATTTGATGAAAATTGCTTGGGAGGATGGGGGAGTTTCGAATGCTCATCATAAAAGAACACTTCATTTCAGGATTCGAATTTCGAGACATCTGATTAAGAATGATAAAATCTTAACCATTTGATCATATCCTGGGGGTGGTAAAATAATATATATTTAATGAAAATTAAGGGGGGGAGGGGGAGGTTCAAACACTCATAATGAAATAGCACTTCATTTCAGGGTTCAAATTTCGAGACATATGATTAAGAGTGACAAAATCTTAACCATTTGATCATACCCTTAAAGTGGTAAAAATAATATTTAAGGAAAATTAAGGAGATTGTGGGTGGGGGGAGTTTCGAACACTCATAAAAAAAGAGTACTTTATTTTAGGGTTCAAATTTCGAGACATTTGATTAAGACTGACAAAATCTTAACCATTTGGTTAAGGGTGGGGGAGAGAGGGGGGGGGGGAGGCGAGAAGGGGGCTTAGAACACTCATCATAAAAAGAGCACTTCATCTTAGGGTTCATATTTCGAGACATCTGATTAAGAGTGACAAAATCTTAACCATTTAACTGTACCCGGAATAGTAAAAACAATGTATAATGAAACTTAAACTTGTTTGTTCATAAATTCAAATAGAAAGTGAGTAATCACCACTAGTTTCTTCAATTTTATGCTCTGGGGAAGGCATACAAAAAGTTGGTGCTGCATTTGTGAATTTTGTTAATTGGACTGGATTTGTTTTCAAAAGGTCACTAAGGCTAACATACTTATATTCTCTACTCATGATTTTCTTTGGAGAAAGAAAAAAAAATGAAAAATGATATGTTTGTTTATTAAAAAAATGATTTAAGGATGATATATATAGCCAAAATAAAATTTAAATAGATTTTTGTAATATGATTGAATTATGAAAAAAGATTGTGTGACTGCTTTTACTATCCATGTGATATTAATGTATTAATGGTAAGTATGTTAAAGATTAATTAAATGTTAAATCAAAGTATATTCAAAATAAGTCTGTCCTAAGAATTAAAGATATTTTAAAGACATATTATATATGCTTAATTAATGGTCAAAAACACATTAAAATTTTCACTTTTTTGGTGAATTTTACCCATCAATTATTTCTTGTGTTTTTCCTATCTAAATTATTGTCATTTTATATATTATAATACACATTGAATGTGATTAAACTAAATATCAATTGTTTTATTTTTTTTTACTTGGACATATATGACCATCAGGTAAAACATATTAAAGTAGATTTGAAAAGAAAATATAAAAATAAAGAAAATGCAATAACGAATTTCGTTGTATCCAAAATAATGAAGTAAAGAATAATATCAACAATAAATAATACGAAAATTGGAACAAACATAGGAGACAACATGTTAATATAAAAGAATAAGATATTAGGAGAATAATAATGTTACTAATAAAGAAAATTAGACAATGCAAAACTACCTACTAATAATTAACTTTCTACTCTAATTTTAAATTCTGATATCTTCTTATTTAGATTCATATCGTCGATGACCTACGAGTTTTCTTCCAACATGTATTCAAGAAAATCAACAAAATAAATTATCATAAAGAATGTTTATTAAGTAACATGTGAAGCCAAATTAGATACACATGATGCACCATATTTTATTCCATAATTATTCCTAAACTTCAATTTAGAGTTTAATCATTTTATATAAAAAAAACATTATATTGTAGTTCTCTTATATTCTAAAATATTTAGACGTTTGCTATATTTTTACTATCTTTGTCCTTCTTAATAGCTTCTTTAATGGAAATTTAACGTTAATTAATTGTGACCAATTTAATGATGGTTTAGTTTGGTGGTATAATTCATGTTTTTTTAAAAAAAATTAAACACTTAATGCTCTTGTAATACACAATTATTATAATTCAAGCTATATTTATTTAAAGTTTCTATTGTATAAAGAGGTAAGTATGTAATTTTAAATTACTAGGACTGTATCTATAACTTAAAGCATATTAATTATCCTATAAATAATATTTTTGAAATGAGAAATGTGCATTGAGTGATTGTAATTAATTGCAAACTACATACAGATTAGTATAATGAGTTGGACTAGATTTATATTTAATAATAATTAGATCGTTAATTGTTTCTTTGACCAAATAAGAAGATTACTTTATGCAAGGAGTAATTAGTCATTCTCATTAAAATTGACATTTCAATACTATTTTCAAATTATAAAAGAGGATGAACAAAAACAAGTTACGCTAGAAAATATAATATCCTCATTTAGATTTTTGATATTTATACATATTTAATGAATTTATTAATATAAATTATTCAGGGAAACACTTATGGGTTTGGTCTAACTCATAGTTGGATTACTAGCTTAACAGGAGTTCAAGTACATATGACTGAAGTTCATATAATTTTTATTTAATTTTTTTTACTGAATTAGTCATTTTTCTTCGACTCTATTTATTAATGTTACTTGAACTTTAGACAAAAATTATTGAGTCGGGATATTAGGTTACGGTCAAGTCTCTGATTATTTTTATGTCCAGTTCATAGATAATTGGGCCAATTGGATGAGACATCAATT